TTGGTTAGGGTGGGATTTTATGGCCATGTCTCTTTCTCTTTGCCGGAATTCTGTCTGGCTTGAATCTGTGAAGGTCTAGTCGTAGGCTCTGTGCATCCGTCTTGTTGTGCCCAGAAAATGCTGTTTCTGTGGAGTCGCCCTCAAACTCCGGCTCTTACAATCTTTCTGCCTCCTCTTCTGCATAGATCCTTGAGCCTGAGGGGAGGGGAGTGTCACTGGACATATCAGCCACACTCCAGGGCAAGACCCAGGCCCAGGAGTAACTGGCCAACAGAAAATGGAGTCCATGGTTTTGTATATGTTTTTTGTTTTGTTTTGGTAATTTTTGCTTCATATACACATTTATAAATAATACTTATATATAGTTTGCATTGATTTTTCATTTTGTTTTTTGTTTTGAGAGAGATAGGTATGATGTAAGGAGGATCTTGGAGGAGCTGGGAGAGGGGAAATATGGTCAAAATATTGTATAAAATATTTTTAAATTAAAAAATTAAATAAAAAAAGTTGGCTAGGCTAGCAGGCCAGCAAAACCCCAGGGATCTTTCTATTCCTGCTGGGATTGCAGGCATGTGCCTCATGCCCAGATTTTTTTCTTTTTTTTTCTTTTCTTTTCTTTCCTCTTCTCTTCTCTTCTCTTTTTCTTTTCTTTTAACATGAGCTCAGCTCCTCATGTTTCCATGGACAGACAAACAGACACATGCTCCCTCTCAGACTCTGAACTGCTGGAAAGGGTTGCCACGGTGACAGCTGCTAGAACCCCACCTTGTGGTATTGTTTTTGTTTGTTTGTTTGGTTGGTTTTAGAGACAGGGTTTTTCCAAGTAGCCCTGGCTGTCCTGGAACCGATCTGTAGACCAGGCTGGCTAGAACTCACAGAAGCTGCCTCTGCCTGGGATTAGAGGTGTTGGCCACCACCGCCTGGTTCACCTTGTGGTACTGATGGCCCTAGTCTCCCTCCTCCCTTCCAGGATGGGGCTGAGCTACCTCCTTGTCGCCTGTAAGTTGCATCAGAGTCAGGGAAGGGACTTAAAAGTCTGGGGTTCAGAAAGACACATGGTATATACTCACAAGTGGATACTGGACCTATAATATAGGATAGACATACTAAAATCTGTACACCTAAAGAAGCTAAACTAGAATGAGGACCCCGGGTAAGATGATCAATCCTCACTCAGAAAGGCAAATGGGATGGATATTGGAAGAGGAAGAAAACAGGGAAGAGGACAGAAGCCTACCAGAGGGGCTCTGAAAGACTCTACCCAGCAGGGTATCAAAGCAGATGCTGAGATTCATAGCCAAACTTTGGGCAGAGTGCAGCGAATCTTATGAAAGAAGGGGGAGATAGAAAGACCCGGAGAGGACAGGAGCACCTCAACAGGAGAGCAACAGAACCAAAAAATCTGAGCACAGGGGTCTTTTCTGAGACTGATACTCCAACCAAGGACCATGCATGGAGATAACCTAGAACCCCTGAACAGATGTAGCCCATGGCAGCTCAATGCCCTAATAATGGGAACAGGGACTGTCTCTGACATGAACTGATTGGCCTGCTCTTTGACCACCTCCCCCTGAGGGAGGAGCAGCTTTACCAGGCCACAGAGGAAGACAATGCAGCCAATCCTGGTGAGACCTGATGGGCTAGGATCAGATGGAAGGGGAGGAGGACCTCCCCTATCAGTGGACTTGGGAAGGGGCATGGGAGGAGATGAGAAAGGGAGGGTGGGGTTGGGAGGGAATGAGGAAGGGGGCTACAGCTGGGATACAAAGTGAATATTTTTAAATTAATAATAAAAAATAAATAAAATAAATAAATAATTTTTAAAAGAAGAAAAAAAGAAATATAAAAGTCTGGGGTTCAGCTCAGTGACCAGGAAAAGAAGGCTGCTGGTGCTCCGTGGCTCTTTGAGGTGTGTTTACCCAGGGTCCTTGCTAGGAACCCTGGACCCTAGGACAACGTGGAGGGCTACACTCTGCTGGGTCATATGCAGCCACGCTCAACTTCTTTAGGTCTCTGCCCGGCTAAAGACCTGCCTCCAGCTGACAGTTAACAGTGATGTCTTATCCCCCAATTGAACTCCCCAGAAAAACCAATGTGGGGGAAAGAGGGGTCCCCTAAGGGGGTGACACTAAGGGGCCCTTGTGCAGACTTGTGCAGAGTGTTGTCACTCAGAGCGTTGTCACTCAGCATGCCACTGCATGGTCCTTCACATTCACCACTGGTGTGGCTCCCTTGCCCCAGCCCGGTGGAGCCCTATCATCCTCCAGTAATTTTTTTTTTTTAAACCTCTTGAGTCAGGGAAAGTTTAGGTACTGCTCTCAGTTTTCGTTCTGGATACTGTACTGAGCAGGGAACCACAGCTATGTCCCGAGCCATATCTGGCAACTGGTCCTTAATTAAAAGGAGAGTTAATCACTGTGGTCACATTAGGAAGAAGGATAAAAAGATCCAGGGACCCCATGTCTGTCTTTTGGGGTCCTAAAGTGAGATTAAAGTTTAAACAGGGTGCAGAGGATATGCACATCTAAGCAGGTTGTGATCCCCAAGTTAAAAAAAATACTTTTCACCCCCTTTGAAGCTCAGGCTACTCTGAGCAGCAGAGAGCTTCCACTGCCTCTGGACTCTCAGGAAAGACTCACTGCTGGCCTGCTCTCCCTCCCTCCCTCCCATTCTCCCTCCTTCCCATCCTCCTTCCCTCCTTCCTTCTCTCTGCCCCTCCCTTCTTCCCTCCCTCCCTCCCCCAATTCTTTCTTCCCTCATTTCCTCCTGTCTCTTTGGCCTTCATTTCACTTCTGCTTTGCCCATAGCCCAAGTTTAGGCCTGTGTGGGGCCTGTGATGGCTGTGTCTACTTCCGGGGCCTTAGGTCTCCCATCCCCCTACCTAAGCTTCCCAGGAGACAAAAGTGAGCTTATTCCCAGAAGGACCTAGAGCCTCTCCCACAACTGTCTACAAACCCCAGCCAGGCTGGAGAGATAGCTCATCTGTTAAGAGCATTGGCTGCTCTTCCAGATGACCCTGGTTCAATTCCCAGCATCCACATGGCAGCTCACACCGGTCTGGTCTGTAACTCAAATTCCAGTGGATCTGACTCCCTCACCCAGACATATATGTGTGCTAAACACCAAATGTACATAAAAATAAATTAAAACAACAACAATAACAAAAAACAAACCCTAGGCAGGGCCCTGCCCTTCACACACTCAGGGGAATAGTCTCCTTTATACAGAGTCTACATATTTATTCTGACTCCTAAAAATGTCTGTTCTCCCCAGCTGTGGCTACCCTCTCTTCACAGACATGAGTATATATGCTGTACAGTAAGTTCATTTGTGTAAAGCAGAGGTGTGTGCTAATGTGTGTAGCTGTTAAGAGCCCACAGATTTCTGACGAATGAGTCATCCATTGGGCTAAGTGTTGGGAAGGCACCAGGCCTGACCATTCTGCAGCTGGTCCACACATGATTCCAGGCACTCCAGAGGCTGGTGGCTGGGGCTGGGGGCTGGTTGTCTTTCCCCTCAAACACCAGGTGTACCTCTCACAGGTATTTCTAGCTTGGAGTCTCTGAAACTTAAGGATGAACGGCCAGGAATGAGATGGGAGTCAAAGGCAGGACGGGGACTAGAGAGTGATTGAGAGATTCTGTTTCCAAGGATCACAGTAGGGTGTTACTGCTGCCAGGCAGGGAGCGCCATCCACTGTACAGATACTTTTGAGAATCCACTGTACTGCCCTGTGGGCTAGAACACCGCGGGGAACGAGGCTGACGAACTCTCCCCTCACTACGCTTATTCGCTATTGGGAGAGGAAGAGTCTAGGCAAGCAGAAAAGGCTACTTTTAGGCAAAGTCACATAAAAGTCATGAAGAGAATGGGATAATCCCATGGAAAATGACAGACAGTGACAGGGATGCTTAGTTGGGATGATCAGGGAAGAGCAGGGCATGAGCTGTACCCAAATATTGAGGATGGGTCCCATGAAGATGTGTGGGAAGAAACTTCCAGAAAAGCGTGGAGGAGACGTCTGTGCCCACTCATGCCTTCCAGAACTCTGGATCAGAGTCGCCGAAGTCAGATTAGAGAGCGACAGAAAGCCTAGAGAAGTAGGAAGGCCAGTCAAGGTAGTATCTACGGAGAAAGAAACGCCCCAGATCCAAGAGGGAGGATGACTTCCTGGTTCCTTCCTGCAGGTTGCAGCACCGAGCTACACCGAGGGAAGAGTCACGTGAACAGGACATTTACAGACCGCCCCCCTTCCTCCAAAAAGCCGCCTTGGTCTACCATAGGCCATACCCCTACTTCCCCAACCTCTTAGCTTTCCAGCTGACAGATTCCTTCAGCTTGGAAGCGGTAACTCTCACCGTTTGCGCCTGAGCTCCGTCCCCTCAACTTGGTTCTTGCGGTTCTCTGGGCTTGAGCATGCAAAGGCCCTAAGTCAGGACATGGGTCTGGCTGAGGTTCTGGTTGGGGGCTCCTGGTGAGCGAAGGGGAGGGGGGCGCCTATATTCCTTATCTCAATTGTCTTGATCCATCATCCATTCCTGAGTGTTTTAACCTGTGTCAGGTTACTCGGTGGTAGGGAGCTTCCATTAGGACTGCCTCGCCACGCCCTGGCATCGGGGCACCTGGGTTGTGGAGGTCCTGTTCCTCTTGTTTTCAAGTTCTATGTCCCAGGACGGGAATACGCTCAACCTCTGGAGCCCCCTTCTGTTCCTGATGTCAGGTCCGGAGCGGTGCCGTTCCCCACCCGCCACCCCCGCACCCCCGTACCCCCGTCCGCCTTCGAGAACTTGTGCCCAGCGGGAACGCGGCGCGCCCCGGGTCCACATCTGGCAGAGCGGGCGCGCGCGTGTCACTAAGACGCTCATTCACCGGCGCGGCTGTCGCCATAACAACCGGAGCCCGGGAGTCCGGGCGACGCTAGGGCGGGGGTTGGGGGCGGCGGCCTCGGGAGGGACCCGGCAGGAGCGGGGGCGGGCCACACCAGTCGGGCGCTGCACGCTCACCCGCGGGCGGGAGGGCGCCACGCACGTCTCCGCGGCCATCCCCGCGGGCGGGGACCGAGCCCGCCGCCGAGCCTCCGAGCAGCCGCGCGCCGAGCCCGGACTCTATGGCCCGCGGGGAGCGCGCCGCCGCTGCGCCGCCCACCCGCAGCCGGAATCCGAGCTCCAACCCCAGGCAGAGAGGAGCGGCGCGCGCCGCGGGCCGGGGCCCAGGGGCCGGGCCGCCCCGGGCGCGGGGCATGAGAGCTCGGTAGCCGGCTGGCGCGAGGACCCCCGCTTAGGGCAGGACCCCCCGAGGGAAGACAGCCAGGCCCGGGGAGAGCCGGAGACCGCGAACCGCCCGCCCCCGGCCGCAGCCCCGCCAGGGCCCTCCCCCGGCGGCGCGCACCCGCGCGCACACACACTTGCACACCTTTCCTCCGCTCCTACCCGTCCTCGCCTGGTGCCCGCCGGAGCACCCCCGGGGGGCCGATGCCATGGGTAACAACTTCTCCAGCGTCTCCTCTCTGCAGCGAGGAAACCAGAGCCGCGCGTCGCGGGGCCAGACCCAGAACCTCAAAGGTAGGCTTCGACCTCCGGGGCGCAGCTGGGGGGCTGCGGCGCGGGTGGAGAGGTGGGCAGAGGTGAGGTTGGGGAGGACCCGCGGTGCCACCTGTTGTGTGCATCCGAACGGCGTGACGGCCTTTCTGAAGGTGGAGGTGGGCTCGCCGGAGCGGCTGACGGGTGCTGGTGGTGGAGGTGAGGGAGGATGGCTGTCGGTGGGGGTCTGCGTAGCTCTCGCCGTCTGCCCGGCGACGTCACCGGAGTCCCCTCCAGCGGCGCTAGGCAGGGTGAAGGGGTGGGAAAGGCATTTGCGGGCTGGGTAGGGCAGAGTGGAGGGAAACCCGGGCTCTCAGCCGAGCTTCCCCGGAGAGTCGCCGTTGGTCTTCGTTGCATCTGCCTCGGGCTGGGAGATCCGGCTGGAAGCACTAGTTGCGTTTTCAAGCGGAGGGTCTTAGAGATCCAGGACTGAAGCGGTAGGAGCCGATGGTGTGCTCCCGGGGTCTTCTGCAGGGGGTGATCTTTTGCACCGACTGAGTCAGCTTGATTTTATTAATTTTTTTAGTTCATCCAAAGACAAGATATTTGGTCTGAACCCTAGAAAGAGGGGGCAGGGAGCTTCCGAATGTATGGAATGTATGGACCTTTACCGGGAAGGTTTGCTGTGTGTGTCCCTCCAGCCACCCAGCATCCTCTGGGGGAGGCCCAGGGGAGGCCCTGGGCTCAGCCCCAGGCCTTCTAGCTTCCAGCAGGTCTCTGACCTTTGGAAGATGCTGCTGGGTTGGACCCAGCCAATTCTCTCTGGAAAGCTGATTTCTTCATCATTATCAGAGCCAGTTGCACTTAGGTTCTAGGGGTACAGTGATAGCTAAAAGTCCCAGCGCTTTTCAAACAACAACAACAATTAAAAAGCAAAACAACCCACTTCCTAGTCTCCCAGGATACGACTAGGGTAGTAATAGTGTCCTTTAACCCGGAGCCTTGGTGTTCGAAGAATGTTCGCAGGCATCTTTTCAGGGACTACAAAAGCCTCTCTGGCTAGTCAGCAGAACAGAGGTAATCGTGTCCATTTTATAGATGAGGGGATCTGAGGCTTCAGTTTTCAGAGCCAGTAAGAGTCAGAAGCAGAGTTAGGCTTCAGACCCTAAAGGCTTGGAACTCTGTCTCGTCTTGCCAGGCAGTTTAACTTCAAGATGGAGAAGGGAGGACAGAGGAACCTGTCCTGCGTTCTAACTCCACCTTTCAGAACTTCACCTCCACTCTGCTCATGAAAATCAGTGGGTCTTGGTGGATTTATGGAAATTAATGTGGCGATACATGCACAGGTCCTTTTAGGGTCATGTTTATTGACCTTGAGGGAAATGGCGATGCAGGTGGGACTGAGAGCGTCAGGCTAGGATGCTCATGGCGGTATCCTTTAGACTAAGAAAATAAGCTAAATGCCTAGGAATCGTGCTGTTGCCTCTTGGGGAGGATGTGTCGTCACCATCACTAAGATTGTCTTTTCAAAGACTCTGAATGACTTGGGGAAGTGCTCACATTGTAAGAACAGTACATAAAGCTATAAAAAGTATGTAAAGCCATAAAGTCTTTGTGATCCCCGTTTTGTTAAAAGGCAGTTATCTGACTAGAAAGGAAAACCCAGTAATCACAAAAACAAATAAAAGCTAAGAAGGAACATTTCTTAAGGATTCCAGGCAATGAATCATATGGGACTTTCTTTCTTTCTTTTTTTTTTAATTCATATTTTCTTTTTAAAAATGTGTGCAGTAGCTGGGCACGGTGATACACGCCTGTAATCCCAGCACTTGGGGAGGCAGAGGCGGGTGGATCTCTGTGAGTTTGAGGCCAGCCTGATCTACAGAGCGAGTCAAGGAGAGCCAAGGCTATGCAGAAAAACCTTGTCTCAAAAAATGTGTGCAATAAATACAAGTTATTATTATTTTAAAGTTAGTTTCATACATGTGTGTAACGCAGCCTGCTTACCTCTCTCTCCCTGCCCCTTTTTTAACTTCATGATTTTTTATTTGTTGCTCCCCCTTTTTAAATCTAGGGCCACCTGTGTAACCGGTGTGTTGGGACTGTGCATTGCAATCTGGTGGGGTCACTAGTGGACACACCACTGAAGGCAGCGACCCTCCCCTTCCCTGGCTGTGTCTATGGTAAATAGCTAAGCAGCAAGGGGCGGGGCCTTCCGAGTCCCTCCCGTGTCCTTGGCTGGCTGTTGATGGCCCATTTTTGTGCAGACTCAACATAGTCATCTGTAGGTGTTGAGAGCTCATAATTGCAATGACCATGCACTTCCCAGAAGATGACATTTCACAGCCCTTTCTATATTGAGCCTCTTAGAGTCTTTCTGCCAGCCCCCTCTTCCTTAATGCTCCCTAAGCTTTGGATGGGATGATACAAATGTCTTATTTAGGGTGGAACATTCGGCTGACCTTGTGAAGCAATAAATCTGTCTTTATCATTTTAGCTAATCAACATTACCCCTGTGTTCTATGACCCTACCCACAGTGAGCTTTAGAGGATATTTAACAGTACTAAGTATGGATTCTTTTCAGTGGAGCGGGCCTAAAATTCAAGCATAAAGTGACTGGTTACTTCTCTAATGGTTGTGCCACTATTGCACAAGTAGGCACATCTGGCCTAGCAGTGTGGTTTCATAGTTTGTTTGTAGGATTCACAGCTATGTATGACCATTGAAAAGCGGCTTGCATAGCACTTTCAGCACCATGAAAGCTTGCCATTGGAAAAGAAGATTCCAGCTCAGTTCCAGCGTGATCTCTTTATTGCATGCAGCCAAGATGTGTGGTGTCTTCAGCCATGAGGTCTTACTATCTAGTTCTGGTGGGCATCCAGGAGAAATGGCAAGAGTTTGCACTGTTTTGGGGGCTTGTAAGGCTCCCTGACCAACTCGTAAGGAGTTGTCCCACACTTGGCCCCATTTTTGTCTATTTTATAACCCACAGCTTCAAGAAGGATCTTTCCCCAGCCATGCAGGGGATCTCCCTTCCAGCTTGAAGTTTGGTTGTAAGATTGTAGGCTTTTCCATGCCCCCATGGTTTTTGTTGATCCTTCCTGCTGCCCCTGCATCTCTACATGCCCTGCTTCTTTCCTACTTAAACCTATTCACCCCTGGAATTTCCCCTTTCTGTTTTCATATTAGCTAGATCTACTGCCTACCTTTTCTTAAGGAATTCCTCCCAATGGCCTCTTTCTAGATTTCTGGTCTCCACATCAACTCTAAATTGAACACAGTAAGTTAGAGATATTCAGTTATGACCCACTTATGAAGAAGAACATATGCTATTTATTTTTCCTGTAGCTGGGTTGCCAGTTTTTATATGTTTTCCTATTTCATCTATTTATCTACACAAGTACTATCTTATGATTATAAATGAACTGCCATGGGCTGGTGCTATATCAGTGGTAGAATGCTTGCCTAACATGAGTGAAGGCCTAGATTCAATCCCCAGTGCTGCTGAATATGTGAATAAATAGACTGCTGGCGTCAGCATGTGTAAAGACTGTTTCTAAGCACCAAAGAGAGATTGTTGATGAGGAAGGAATTTGTGGCCATCATTTGGATAAATTTCTTCCCTTACAAATGAGAAGAAAAAGGGAAAAGCACACTGATTTGTCCAAATTACTTCGCAGATCAATTTGAGGGGCAGAGCTGATCTCTGTCCTTGATGGGTAGGGATTTGCTGGGGGCTGGCAAATTGACCTCATTGTCTAGGGCTCACACCTGTTCCCCTAAAAGAGACGCTGCTCTTTTTCTGGCAGCGTCTAGAGGAGCCCCCAGGAACTGTACCCCTTTACCGGATATTTCGGCTTGTGGGGAATGTGCAACCTCCATGTCTTGGCCAGGGGTAGTGGTCTGCTTTCCTGAACTCATTCACATATTTGCTCTCTCATACCTGAAATTCTAGCACTTGGGAGACTGAGACCAGAGGAGTGTGAGTTTGGGGCCTGAGAGTGTGAGACACTGCCAAAGAAAGAAGAAAGGAAGATAGAATAAAGTAAGAATGAGTGGGAGGAAGGAGGAAGGGAGGAGAAGAATGAGAATAAATATGAGAACGCCCATGTATGCACACCCTTGGGTCTGCCAGACCTCCTCAGCCGGACTCCTAGGAACTTATTCCTATTTTCCTTCTCTAAGAAAGTGCTCACCCGTGGGTCCTGGAAAGACAGCTCAGTGGTTAAGAGCCCTCTTAGAGGACCAGAGTTTGGTTCCTAGCACCCATGTTGGACAACTCAAAACTCAGCTCTGGGGGTATGATACTCTCTTTTGGTCTAGCGGCAGCCCACACGTGTGAATACACACACACACACAAACACACATGCACACATCAGAATTAGAAGAAAGTTATCATATTTATTCTGCAATTAGTTTTCATTATGAATTTCCTTCTACCCGTTCAGCGCTGCCATAGCGTCCCATCTGATAGATTAGTGACCATCCAGAATTCTGTTCTAATTGTGTTGGTTTTGACTCAGGACCAGAGTTCCAGCTGCACAGCCAGTTTTCAGCACTCGGCCAGCATCCAGCTGCAATTTTAGCAAGGCCCATGTAAAACTTACCTGGGGGTGGAGGACCTGCCTCCCTTTCTTCTCCTTCTGTTCCAGCGCTTTCGGTTCCTTACCGCTCTAATTGAAACAGCTGCTGGGACCTGTGAGAATGAGGAGACATCAGACTGTTCTGCCTGCCAGGCTGATGGGAAGTGGGCTCTGCTTGTACCTCTCAGGTAGACTTCGGTCTTTTCCTGGAGACACACTGATAATTCCTACCGGGTCCGAAAAGCATGGATCAGGAAGCCAGGTGTAGCTCTGGACAGTGCCGGACACTTGTGTGCTGGGCTCAGAGGCTGAGGTTACAGGCTCTCGACATCCTGGGCTTCCGTGTGCTGAAGATCCAAGAAAGGCAAGGTAGAGGGAGGAGTAGAGACTCATGCTTGCACAGTTGGATGGAAAGCCTAGGTCTGTGTGCCTGGGTCAGAGATGGGAGGGACATCGGG